ACCAAACCAAACAAACAAAAAGCTGAAAAGACAAGTAAGGCTCCATTAAAAGTAAACTCTCCTCCCATGACTTAAGGTAAATTGCTTCTTTTATGGTTTTTCCGACACAAGGTTTTCCCATGTAGCCTTGGTTATCCTGGAACTCAACTCTGTAGACTAGGCTGACCTTGAACTCACAGAGATCTACCTGCATCTGCCTCCTGAGTTCAGGGATCAAAGTCATGTACCACCACTGGCCCAGATGACTTACTTCTTTATTATAAAGTGACCATACTTTAGATTTAAGGGAAATAAACCAGGCGAGCTTAATTGTTGTCTCTGCCTTTATTAGCTGTTCTGGAATTTGCCCCTGGGGCAAGTGACTCTGGCAGGGGTCAGCAATCACCTGGCAGTTCTTCTTGGGTGTAGTCACACTAATGTTGGATTTAATCTGAGAGATAGAAGTAAATCCATTTAACTATATAGCTACTATCTCAGTAAGTCCAGTAAGTCCATCCTATAAAAAGTGAGCTAACTTCTTTAAAACACAAGCAGGAACTGCTGGCCTCCGGTAAAAGCCGTCAGGTAAATGCCCTCCGTTTCCCACAGCTGCATGGAAAGGGCTCTGAGCTCTACGGTTAATCCTTTAAATTGAGTGGAATTTTGGGAATTCTGGCATCTGAGTAACGGGTCACAAAAGGCTCCAGTGCTGACTCACTGAGCCTGATTTTTCTGGGATAAGTCGTTCCTCTCTGAGCATTACCTTTTGAGGAGCAAACGTGGTGTGAAGGCCTGGCTCCCTTGGTTCTGCTTCAGAGTAAGTATCTCTCTCTAAGCAGGTTCAACGCCAATCAGCTGTGCTGAGAAATGGCCACCAGAAATAACTCAGTTTCCTGCTCTCACCAGGGTGAACTGAACCTCGAGTTTCATGCCGTTTACAAAGGAAGCTTCCGCTATGTGATGGCTGTCAGACTGAACAGAAACTAACCTAGAGAAAAAGGGAAATTCAGTCTCCATTGTCACCAAAGGATGATATTATGCGTAAAGACACTCGTTTCTATCTTAGCTCAAGGCCTTTACTGCTGCAGTTCCTGGTCTCCTGGACTGAGAGGCTTGGGCTCAGGAGCTGATATTGGAATAGCCTGGTAGCTGTGACCTCTGGACTGGGATAAGTCCAGCTCCCAGCACTAACGGGGAGCTGACCTGTGCCCTGGCCAGTAGTGCTATGGGAGCAGGTGACTGATCTCAGGGCCTTCAGATCTCTATGCTTCTCAAGGCAGGAAGTGCATGAATTCAGCCTCAAGTACAAGTGTCTCTAAGTCATCCTCCATCTGCCCGCAGTGGTGGCTGAGAGGTGCCTTAGAACCTAAAATGACAAGATAGGAAGCAGCGGTGGCAGGAAGCAAAGGCTTGATAAAGGAAGAATCGGAGATGCTGCCATCACCAAGGCCAACGAGGCAGCCGAAACCAACAGAGCTGACGATCTGGGGCTGGGGAGGTCTGGGTAGAGCCTTGTTTGACGTATGAGCCAGAGGTAGAAAGACAGACAGACACACAGAGAGACAGGGAGAAATAGAGGCATGAGCACACACAGACACACACACATACATAGAGAGACAGAGACACAGACAGACAGACAGAGTGAATGAGAGAAACAGAGATAAAAAGACAGAGAGAGACAAACAGAGTGGGGGGGAGGAAGGGCGGGGGGAGTGGGAGCAGGAGTGCAAACATGCTTGGGACAAGCACACAGTAATAGGTCAGGCTAGAAAAATGAGGCAAATGGCCTCAGACCTACAACTCAAAAGGAAAGAACATACTATTTTTATCTTAACTATGTGGAGAAACAACACATTTAAAATGTCGGTCCATACTCCAGGTTCCAGGACCTGCAGATTGTGTAGGGATACAGGATCCTGTGAGTAGGGCACAATGTCACCTACGAAGTTCATGTCTGAGAGCCCTGTGACTGAGTTCTAGTGAGTTCATGCTTTGTGTAGGGCTACATTCACAGTCTGCCTGCATTCAGCCATGTGTATACATGACCAACAGGGCTAACTTCTGCCTCTCTATCTGCATCCTTGCCCTGGTATGGACTGGTTGGCCCCTTTCAGGGTAAGAGCTCATCAGTGTGTAGAAAGAGACCAGAGATGTCACAACCTGAGTGAGTGACTCAAAGAAGTTACAGAAGTTGAAGAAATGCCACTTTGGGGGCTGGAGACACTGCTTAGTGGTGAAAAGCACTGGCCGCCTTTCCCAAGGACTGGGATTCAATTCCCAGCACCTATATGGCATGCCATAGCAGTCTATAACTTCAGGAGATCTGAAGCCTTCTTCTGGTCTTTACTATGATCAGGAAGGCAAGAAGGGCACAGACATCCATGCAGTGAAACACCCATATGTGTAAGATTAAACAAACAAATAAACTGAATGCCAGTTTCCTCTGTGGATGCAGAGCCTCTCAGACTCAGCAGTCCTGCTTAGAATCCCCTCAACTCTGCTGTCTCCCCTTCTTTTTTCTTTGTGATGCTGAGGCCTCGAACACAGTGTTAGGTAAACGCTCCACCTCTGAACTTCTGAATTACATTCTCAGCTCCTAGAGTTTCCTATATGATTGTTTAGAAACAGGGTCTTGCTAGATAGCCCAGGCCGGCCTAGAACTGGAGTTCCTTCAGACAAGCCTGAGGGCCGGGGTTGCAGGTGTCCAGGCCTGCACCATCACACTCTGCTCTAATCTTGCCCTTGTCTTAGCTCTAGACTGAGGAGATCATGTTGCCTGTCTGTCTCTTCTTACCCACGAGGTCCTCTCACAACTCTTCAACCCGGCCCTTGTCCACTGGAGACCCTCGTGCTCCTACAAGTCAGGGATACTTACTGCAGAATACAAAAGCCATTCTGTAACCATCCGTGCTGGTCTCCAGTAACATGCTCAACCCAGGGTCCATGGCAGCTGGGTGGCCCCCTTCTAACACACCAGCCATTGTCATGCCCTGTACACTTCCTGCCCAACAGGCCGTTAGCCTCATAAACAGGGGCTACACTTTCTTTTTCTGTGTTCCTTTAACAAACTTATGTTTACTTACTTTGTAAACCTCTTGAAGATTCATAATTTTCTTTTAGAACTTTCTGGACTAAATGCGTTCAAGAATCCATCATTGTTAGATTTTAGACCATCTTTTTGTTAAGTATGGGGCCTCCATCAAATGCACAGAGAGGGCTACAGAGCAGTGTATGAAGGTTATATTACATTAAGAGACAGAAGGAAAGACTAAAAATAACCTCATCTGGGGCAGGGCAGGACTCATTGCTAGATGAACTCGGCAGTAGCCTTACATGTAAATATCCACGCACTCTTCAGCGCTCTGTGCTTCCTGGATTCTGGAAGTGGACACAAGGGATGACTGGGATTGATTAGTCCAATGAGAACTAGGCTGAACATTGCTCTCAGCTTCTTACTGCTGGGGCTACAGCATCTTGCCTGGGTCCCAGGCAGGCTCCAAATGCTGAGTAGGGGGACCTGTGGCTGATATCTTGGAGTTGGAAGCAGATTCCTACCTCTTGGGTCCTTCCTTGCCTTCTTTTACATTTGTTCTCAGGGTTTGGTGTTTATCCTTCCTTGGCCCAGGACACAGGCACTTGGTTTCTGTATGCTAGAACCAGCCCAGAGCTGGCTTCCTCCTCCTGCTTGCCTTCTATGGTCTGCCTGGGCCTCTGTTCTGAGCACCAGTGTGTTTTCCCTCCTCCCTGATCCTCCCTTAAGAGGGTTCCAAAGTGGCCCTGCAGGTTCCCTCCCTAGGCCTACAGGTTACAGACTAGCTCCAAAAGCATGATTTACTGCCAAAGTTCAAGTAGAGACATAGAATAAACACATTAAAACAGACAGAGGAAAAAAAAAAGCTCAATTCTCAGTAAGGAACTGACATTTTACACGTCTGTCATTGGGATAAAAGTTTACTTAACCTTCCGAGCGCTTGGAGGAAGCTCCCCCAGTCAAAGCAGTCTCACCTTGACTAGTCCACAAAAGCCAACTACAGAATTAACTCCTACCTGAAGAATGAGTGACCAAGGCTCAGATTTTTATCAAGGTCTCACAAAAACCTGATAAAACAGGAACCTTGGGTCTCCCTCTCTCTCTGGTACTAACTCCATACACAGTTTCAAAGAGTACAGTTTATTTTTAAATATTCCCATTCATAAACAACCACAGCAAGGGACAAGGGAGAAGCTGTAGGCCTGTAAGCTCAACCCTGGAAAGGTTGAGACATGAGGATCCGGAGATCGAGGCTAGTTTGGGCTATGGATCCTGTCTGAACTCCCAGCCCCCAAACCACAACCATAAACTTACACAGGGTGTAACAACCAAAAAATTCCCCAACTCCCGGATGCCCAATTTTAAATCATAGTCTTCATCCATTGTCCCTACACAAGTTCGGGAAGTGGAACACGTGTAGCACCTTGCCCAGACACAAGTGGCTCCTGGCACCCGCCAAAGTGGATTTGGGGCCCTAGATCCTTGAGGGAAGTGTTTCTAAGGTCAAGAGCCTGTGAACCCTCCAAGTCACTCAAGGCAAGGTGGTGCCACTGGATAAGGACCCAGTTCCCAGGTGCTGTACTCTGTAAAACACCAAACCAACAGTTCCCTGTGAAACTCTACACCACCCTCAGATCTCAGACCTCAGTTGGGTTCTAGCCAGAGCTAGCCAGCTGGGCAGAGCCTGCCTAGAGACCATCTCCAGGGGCGGAGGGAGAGACCACTCTCCTTTTCGTCCTTGAGAGGAACATTGGGGCGTAAAATGTACTTTTCAGAGCGCCACCTACGGACACTTTACACTCAGCCAACCACCTGATGGTAGGCAGGAGCTGCCCTATATCAGGATTTTCGAGTGGCCCAAGCCCAAGTCTCTGCTCCAGTAGCACCGCTGCAGCAGAAGCGGCCGCTACCCCTTGACCTTAGAGCTGTTGGGGGATACTCAGGTGGCGGCTGCTGGCAGGCACAGGTCTGAACTGTGTCTCCCTCTTACCAGTCTTTGCGCTTCTGGACTCAGACAGTCGATTTCCTTGTTTTGCGTGCCCTCTGGGCTGGTCATGTTGCCGAAGTGAAGACCAACTTCCTACCCAAGAGTTCGCGCCGAAGACCCGCTCCCTCGTCCACAGGCAGAGGGCTCTCAGTGAGGCCACATTCTGGGATCCAGGAAAGCAGTTCAGGCAGAAGCGGAACTCGCAACGATCCCCTGGGCGCACACGAAGCTCGGACGCCCAACTCTGAGGTTCCCTAGCTGGGGTGCGGCCGGCGGGGCGGGGCACAGGTGGCTCCCGGCCGGGGGGCGGGGGTGGCAAGAGAGGAGCTGGGGGTATACTCCGCCCCAGCCCCGCCCAGCCTCGCCCCCACGCCCCACCCACCCAGTGCCCGCCTCTCCTTCCTTCCCAGCCCCTTTCCCGCGCTCTTTCCAGGGGGTTGTAACCCTTCCTCTCTGGTTCCACCCAGCTGAGGTCCATCTGCCTCCGACTTTCCTTCCTCGCGGCCACATCCTGCCCCTTTAGTCTCCTGCTTCACCCACGACGGCACTCTCAGCCCAAGCACTCCTTCCATGAGGTCCACTCGAGTCCGCCTACCCGGGACCCCAGGTCCTCCTCCATAGCCCCACCCATGCTCCTCCCCTTGCACCGCCTTAGAAGCTCGGGACCCGCCTCCCTCCCCTCCAAACCGCTCCTGGCCAGCGGGCTGCAGTGCCATCAATCACCACACAGTCCCTGCGGCAGACACCGGAAAAGACGGAGGGAAAGACCCTGGGGACGCCACCCGTGACCACGCCCTAGCCGTCGTCCGGTTGAGTCAGCGCGGGAGACCAGCCCAGGCCTCGGGAGGCGCGCCTTCGGTTAGGACACGCGTGGCTTGAGCTGGAACCACACCGCATGAGCCTCTGCCAGAGCGCAGCTGCGCCCGCCACTACGGTCTTCCAGGCGGGCGCGGCTTTGGGGACCACAAAGCTACCACCCATGACCACGCTGGACAAGAGCGAGCATCAAGCCCAGGTGACGGCCGCGATAGGGAGCAGGGAGGAACTAGTCTCCACGCTAGACAGTGACCCGACTCGCAGCACATGCCTTCCATCTCCACTGAACAGGAGCACCCCTGATTTAAAATTAAAGCCAAACGGGCAAGCAACCAGAAGGTTCCAGTATTGTGCGCTACGGACAGAGACACCCCAAAGGAGGGGCATGAATTTCACCCTTAGCCAATCTGAGCCGCATTTTTCCACATGGCTGGTGCAACAGACCTGGGTGACCTGTTTTCTCCGCCCTAGAAGAACCTTCTTCGGGCTCAAAAAGGAAAAGCAGCATAGTCCCCTGACTTGTTTCTCTGTTCTGGCGACTCCAGAAAGATTATGGAGCCTGGCTGACATGCTCTTTGGTAACAACGCACATGTGTGCGCTGACCTATGCATACGTGGAGCAGCATTCTGGCCTCTGGGGTAATGCTTCGAAGGACTGGGTTGGCCAGATGGTAGACACAGAGAAAATGAGTTCTGAGGGGCAGGAGGACCTGGCCCAAAGGGATGAAGGGGGCGTGGTTTTGGGGGTGGGGCAGGCTGAAAGAGACTAGGTACCAAGCTCTGATGAAGTGTTTCAGATGAGGAAAACTTCCCGGGAAGGAGAGCACTGGCTTCCAGCAGCTGGTTTCAGCTTCACAGTTTACAAACAAAGCTCAGTCAATTAGAGAGAATAGTATTGGATAACACTGTAACGGCAAGGTCTGTGGCATTTCTGTGGGGTACAAGTAGTTCTACTAGGACTAACTTTACAGGTGAGAGTGAAGTCCAATTAATAACAGCCTGAGAGAGTCCTGGTTACTGTATTCTGACCTAGATAGGGAGAGTCTAAGCCTCTGGCCATGTGGAACCCTGGGACTTCCACACCACTGCAACCCAGGGGCGGGCTTAGTTGGCTCTGCATGTCCCCAGACAATGCCTGAAGAGACTTGTTGCTAATATAGAGAGAGCATTTCCCCAGACCCGAGATATCCTTTGGCTTCTAGCAAGCTCATAAACAAGCTCTCTGTCTGTGCCTGGTGTCTAGGAAAGAAAATCACAGTATACTGTCCTAGCTGCCCTTCGAATTTTCCAGCAGGAACCCCTGTCCATTCATTGCTGCCTCCTCTTGCACAGCAAGAAGGAAGCTGGGCCATAAGTTGAAACGGTTGAGAACTGGAACTGGGCTGAGCCAGAGAGGTGAGACAGAGAAGAGGAAAATTCCACCCCCACCCCCCCCCAAAAAAAAGCTGTGGGAGGGAGCAGGACAGTGAGATTCCTAGGCTCAAGAGTTGGGGTACACCACCAGCCATAGAATAGCAATAAACACAGAGGACTCGTGATCCTGCAGAATGCCAGCATGCTATGGCAGCTGGCACTCTAACAGCCTGCTCTTCAGGTGCCACATTTTGACTCAGGTGAACCAAGCCTGTCCTGATGGTGACTGTCGTGGGCAGTTCACACCTCCAGAAATCTGGAAATCCATGTTTCACATCTACCCTTGTCGTCTAAATGCTAGGGCCTATCATGGTTACACTTGCATGTAATCCTTTTGGGTGGTGGAGGCAGGAGAATTGAGAGTTGAAAGCCATCTTTGGCTTTTATACCAAGTTTGAAGCTATCCTTGGTTACCAAAAACAAAACAAAACAAAACAAAACAAAACAAACAAACAAAAAACCAAACTATCCAATACTAGGGAGGCAGAGGCAGAAGGCAGATCTCTTGAGTTCTAGGCCAGCCTGGTCTATATAGCACGTTCCAAGACAGCCAGGTCTCTAGAGTTTGACCCTGTCTCAAAACAAAATAAAAAGTAAATAAATCAGCCTATGATCTGACAAAGGACAGAGGCCCCAAACTACCTTCCATTAATTTTGATGTCAATCCTGCTCTGATGCCCCTCTTTGACACGCCCCTAGCCTCTCTACCCTTTTTAATGTTTTGCAAGGTGCAGCGAGGTTGATGAATGTGAAGGGAATCTATAAACTTCTGGAATGTGAGAAGGTCTGAAAAGTGACACCCGGTAGAAAGGGATACGCACGCACGCACGCACGCACGGGAGTCTTGGCAGAGCAATAGAAAAGCTTTTGCTTGGAAAACCTCAAGCCACCTAAACACATGAATACATCAGACAAGAGGCAACACCTTTGAAAGTGCAAGGGGAGCCTCATCCACTGGACTGACGACTTGATGGTATCAAAGGTCTTTTTCTTTTCTCTGTTCAGGAGGTCTCATGTAGCCAACGCTGTCCCCAAACTCTGGATTCTCCTGTTTCGATCTCTAGACAACTGGGATTCTAAGAGTGTGTCTCCATGCCCTGGGTCTTTATATAAAAAGCTGTGAGATCTACGACGCTGCTTAGTCAGCTCCTTTTGGTAAACATGACCAGTAGGCAGCCATTTCTAATAAGTTGGCTTTGCATTTGGAGCCTCTTCCATATGGCCAGGCACTGACTGACCTTTGAGTTCACAGACTTGTCTCTTTTTGTGAGCACACAGTAAGCTTTAGGAAAGATCTGTCCCTACCATGCTTATTGTGTACGTGTGTGTGTGTGTGTGTGTGTGTGTGTGTGTGTTGTGTAACTGTGTTGTGGATGTGTGTGTATTGTGTATGTATGTGTTGTGTTTGCATGTGTGGTGTGTGTGTATGTGGTATGTATGTGATGTGTATGTATGTGGTATGTATGTGTTGTGTATATGTGTGTGTGTTGTGTGTATGTGGTGTGTGTGTATGTGGTATGTAGGTGATGTATATGTATGTGGTATGTATGTGTTGTGTGTGTGGTAGCTGTATGTGGGATATGTATGCGTGGTGTGTATGTAGTGTGTACATATGAGTGTATTGTGTGGGGTGTGTATGTAGTATCTGTGTGTTGTTTGTGATACGTATGTGTACTTTATGTGGGGGGGGGTTGGTATGCATCTTTGTGTATGGTGTGGGTGTGTCCTCTGTGGTCTCTTAGAGAAAAATAACTGTCTGGAGTCTTAACATCAGTTCTCAGGTGCACAACAAGATCATGCCCAGGAGCCTAATTTTAAAGGAACTCCTGAGCACGGAACAAACAATAAATACAATGGCCTGCATTGTTGGAGGACCATAAGGATCACAGCTAACCAGCTCAGCCACAGAGTGAGCCAGACTGGAGCCCCACCCAAGCCTGGTTTACTTTGTCTCCCTGGCATCTGTTGCTAGACTCACTAGATTTGCCTTACTCTGTGGTTTGGGCTGCAGGGTGACCACAGAAAGACGCAGAGGCAAGGCACAGTGGTTCTCAGCTCCCATTAATCAGGTAACCAATATGAAATAATTTCTCACAATCTTGGTGTTTGTTTTTCTGCAGACATGAATCACCAGCCCTGTCGACAATGGGCAATAGAGTAAACCTCTCTAATGGCTTGCATACACAATGGGCCCACATGTATGTTCTTACTTAGTTTGGATCCTTAGACAATTCCCTTAAAGCCATAGCTGGGATTATATGTTATGATAACTGTGGTTTAGGCCAACACCCAGGCTTTGTGTGGTACCCTCTGTTTGTAAAACACCTGACATACACACTGAGGTTTACAAGTGTTGCAGGATACTGGATCACACTGTGAACCCCGAGACTGTTATTTACTGAAAATACCTGTTTCTAACCCTTAGCACACACCTCTAATCCCTTTGGCTGGAATACAGACATCCCCTTAGTATTCTCCTTTACTCTCAAACAATGGTAAAATTAGTTTGGAGAAGTAAGCACCATGTTTGAAAGTGATGTCTAATTGAGTGATCTGACAGAATAGGATATGACCAACTCTCTCAAGAAGAGAGAGGAAAGAGAAGTTACTTAACAGGCAGTGCAGAGAGAGAGAGGAGGCAGTTTTACCAGGAGAGTTGTACAGAGACAGGCTGAAGAGAGAACAAGCTAGACACAGGTGAAGACAGAATGAGCCAGAGAATGAGAAGGAGCCAGAAGATTAGAACAGATTGTTAAAGTTAGTCTGAGACCAAGCAGAGGAAAAAGTCAAAGACTGAAAGAGAAGCCAGATTGAATCAGTCAGTTTGGAGTGGGGTTTGAGCCACAACAGCTGAGTTGAACCAGCCAGCCAGAGCTCAGAAAGAACAAGAAAGGGTGAGCTTATTCAGCAGCAAGTCTCAGAGGCTGCAAACATTCAAGGGCTAGATTAGATTGTAGGGAGGCTAGAAGCTTCCAGGACCAGGTCTAGGTTAGCAGAATGAGGAGTAAGCCT